CTGACATGGTATATATGGATACATTTCTTTGTAATGTGTGTAGTGTGTATTCGACTTTGTACTGTGTGTAGTATCATAGCATACATCCGTAATGTGTGTAGTTGTAGCATGTGTGTCACACATACCTTGTAATAGCATATGTGTGTAGCATGTCTTGTAATGAGTATGTTAGCATTCTTGTAATGTGTGTAGCATGTGTAGTACATTTTGTGTGTGTAGCATACATTCTTGTAATAGGTGTAGTATGTGTGTAGCATACATTCCTTGTAATAGGTGTAGCATGTAATAGTGTAATGTGTGTAGCATACATACTTCCTTTGTAATGTGTAATGTATGTAGCATAGTATGTGTGTAGCATACATTCTTGTAATAGTGTGTAGTATGTGTGTGCAGCATACACTCTTGTTATGTGTGTAGCATACATGTATGTGTGTAGCATACATTCTTGTAATGTGTGTAGTAGTATGTGTGTAGCATACATTCTTGTAATAGGTGTAGTATGTGTGTAGCATACATTTTATAACTCTTATGTGTGTAGCATAATGTGTGTAGTATGTGTGTAGCATACATTCTTGTAATAGGTGTAGTATGTGTGTAGCATACATTTTTATAACGTGTGTAGTATGTGTGTAGCATACACTCTTGTAATGTGTAGCATACATTCTTGTAATAGGTGTAGTATGTGTGTAGCATACTTTCTTGTAATGTGTGTAGCATGTGTGTAGCATACATTCTTGTAATAGGTGTAGTATGTGTGTAGCATACATACTTGTAATAGGTGTAGCATGTGTGTAGCATACATTCTTGTAATAGGTGTAGTATGTGTGTAGCATACATTCTTGTAATGTGTGTAGTATGTGTGCAAAAGATGCATGTGTATGAATAATTCATATTACCTTATAAATAAGTTTATGCAAATGCGAACAAATATCCGTGTGTGTATGCATGTATATGGACAATTGTGTATGGTTTGATGAAAGCATTTATGTATACAACGGTGAGCCTTTACGTTTGGAAGTGAATGGTTAGATTGTGTATATATTTAGTTAACCAGCTTGTAATTGCTTACCTGAAGATTCTCCGTTGTCCCTAGTTTTTGGGTAGTTCCTCCCATAAAGGCGCATCTTGTCTTTTTGTTTCTTTTATTAAGCCATATCATGGTTATGGCTTACTTTATTTTCCTTTCTATTTTCTTTTCATTGTTTCACTCAAAATCATGTTACACCGTGTCAATTGACCTATACCTACATCAAATTACAACAAACGTATTTACATGTATTAGTTACTTTAGTTCAGTTTGTGTGTGTCTACCTCAATGTAATCACCCACTGGAACCCACTGTCCTACCTGATACGACTATATGTATGATATTTGATTATGGCTGATATTGAGCAGTACAGACAGGCAGTGGGTTCCTTTGCTGCAAAACTACAGTCAAAATCTGCAGTCCGATTTATGAAATCCATACACAGTTTTAAGTTCTTGTGTCTCTACAGCACCCAAGTATCTGTAATTGCCTCTCATCCTTCTCTCTGCTGTGGCGATATCCATCCGAATCCTGGGCCGAAATATTTCAGAGACCTTAAAATAATACATTTGAACGTACGCAGTTTGAAAGACAAAACTGATTTACTTGACGCAGAATTTCGATCTTATGACGTTATATGTCTTACTGAAACCTGGTTGCATGCAGACATTCGTAGTGTTGATATAGCAATACCTGGATATCACCTACCATTCAGGAAAGATAGGCAAACGCGTGGTGGCGGTGTCGCGATCTATGTCAAAAGCAACTTACACGCCAAGCATATGGACAACCTTGACACCCCCGGGCTCGAGGCGGTGTGGATACAGATAAAGTGTAAACACCGTTGTTACCTAATCGGATCCGTCTATCGAGCAGATAAGAGCGCGGGGTACTGGGATCTGATTGAGGAATCTGTCGGTAACGCCGTCGACCTGAACATGTATACTATCGTTGTCGGTGACTTTAATATAGACGTCCTTCGGGAAAATCGAACTAAAATAGATAACCTTCAATCGATGTATGACCTTAAACAGATTATATCCGAACCAACTAGAATTACACCACATTCAAGTACCCTGATAGATCTGATTTTTGTTTCGAATATTAAAGCTGTAAATGACTCGGGAGTCCTTGACCCTATCTGCAGTGACCATTGTCCGATATTTGTGACCATCAAACAACCAATTCCCCTCCTTATAAATTATAAGAGGAAAGTTTATTACTATTCGTTAGTTGATACTGTAAGCATGAACAAGAGTGTCGATGATATTGATGGTGATATTTTATTTTCTTCCAATAATATAGATAAGATTGCAACCGATTTAACATCCACAATAATGAAAATCTGCGATCAACATATACCAAATAAGACTGTCACTGTTAGACCTGCAGATCCGCTCTGGATGACGAGCCAAATACGTTCTTTGATTCGGAAACGTAATCGCCTACATAAAATTGCAAAGAAATGTAACCATCCAACGAAGTGGGCTAACTTCAGATCAGCAAGAAATAAAGTTACTTCCGCTATTAGAACTGCTAAACAAATTTTCGTTTCTAAAATTGAAGACTCTGTTAACACCTCGATCGGTACGAAAACGTGGTGGCGTCTGACGAAAGGGTTCATAAAATCACGTAACAATGACAATCAATTTGGGACAATTATCTTTAACGATACAATCTATAATGACCCTGAAGAAATCGCTAATGTCTTAAACAATTACTTTATCGCTCAGTCGACTATTGCTGATCCAAATCGAGATTTGCCCGATACCGAGTTTCCTTGCAGCCCAAAATTAACTAACATCACTCTAACCCGCGATGACGTCAGAGATATTTTAATGTCACTGGACACATCAAAAGCGACCGGTCCGGATGGGATAGGAAATAAAATACTTAGATATACCGCAAATAGTCTAACATCCATACTTACGAAATTATTCAATTTGTCCCTTAGCCTGTCAATTTTTCCCAGTCCATGGAAAGAAGCATCGGTAATACCTATTCACAAGAAAGATAGCGTACATGACTGTTCTAACTACCGCCCTGTCGCACTCACATCTTGTTTATCGAAAGTCTTTGAGAAATGTGTATTTAAATATGTATTCAATTTCCTAAGAGATAACGACTTAATGACAAATTTACAATCAGGATTCATGCCAGGAGACTCCACAACAAATCAATTAACCTTTTTGTACAACTTTATAGCCAAAGCTCTTGACGAAGGAAAAGAGGTTAGAGCAGTCTTCTGCGACATAAGTAAAAGCCTTTGATAAGGTCTGGCATAGAGGAATTATTTATAAACTGAAAACCTATGGTATCCAAGGCGAACTATTACAATGGTTTGAAAGTTATTTAGAAAATAGAGTACAACGGGTCGCAATTAACGGCTATAAATCTGACAAGAAAACTGTACTAGCTGGAGTACCTCAGGGCTCTGTCCTTGGACCACTTCTTTTTCTGATATACATCAATGATATTGTATGTGATGTTGACAGTAACATTCGTCTCTTTGCGGATGACACCTCATTATATGTTATCATAGACGATCCATCAGTTGCTGCTACCTGTCTTAACAAAGATCTAGATAGAATTTCACAATGGGCCCGTAAGTGGCAGGTTACATTTCATCCAAATAAAACCGAAACTACTCAGTTCTCACGTAAAACGAAACCGTCTCTAAAACCGAACCTATTCATGAACGGAACAATCAGAAAAGAAGTCAAAAGTCATAAACATTTAGGATTAACACCCCAAAGCGATTGTACGTGGAACGATCACACTAATGATATTGTACGTAAAGTTCGCCCTATGATCTGAGGAGTTTTAAATACCGATTATCACGTAAAACGTTGGATATTATGTATAAATCCTATATCTTGCCAATATTTGACTATTGTTCGCATATTTGGGATAACTGTACTTCTGAGCAATCGCGTACATTAGAAAATTTACATCTTGATGCTCTGAGAACTATATGTGGTGCCGTCCGTGGCACAAGTCATAACAAACTTTATAATGAAACCAAATCTCAGTCCATGCAAGATAGAAGGAATTGCCAGAAGTTAACTTTTTTCTATAAGATGTACAACAACCAATTGCCAAAATATCTTTGTGACCTGATTCCAAACTCCGTCTCCGGAACTACAAACTACAGCTTGAGGAATAACTCTGAAATACAAGGAATTTACAGTCGCACTGCCTCTTATGCTAAATCCTTTTTACCTGCCACAATAAATTTATGGAATGCCCTACCAAATTCCAAAGCGTCATGTAATCTCACAGAATTTAAAAACCTAATTACAAAAACTGAAAATAAGATTTACTTTGACCTTGATTATGGCAATCGTTTTTGCCAAATCGTTCACTGCCGCCTCAGGCTTGGATGTAGCGACCTAAACGCCGATAAGTATAACAGACATTTAATAGACAACCCTTGTTGTTCTTGTGGACATCATAGTGAAAACGCCCTACACTATTTCCTCACTTCCCGTAACTATACTCGGATAAGACTTAAGATGTATTTTTACACTACCGGTTATAACCCGGATACCATTCTTAATGGAAACAAAAAAACTTACTCCCTGTGTAAACCAGAAAATAGTTGAATCCGTCCACGATTATATTACCAAGACACAACGCTTTAAATTTTCTCAGGAAAATAATTAAATTTACTCAACAACCTTCTCATGATTGATTTATATTTCTACAATGGCTTGTGAGACACACACAACTGTAACTCTCTAACTTATGACTACTTAGAGAATAGTTGTATTTCATGTAATCTGTATATATTTATACATTTTAAAAATATTATATTTATGCTATGGTCAGTATCGATGATGTCAAATCCTCCATTTTCATGTTGTGTCATATGTTGCATTGGAGCGGTGTTAATATAAGCAGTAATGCTTGTTCACCAATCCCAATTCATCTTCATGAATAAAAATATGTTTAAATCAACTGAACCTTAGAAATGACTGACTTTGATCTGTCGTATACTCCCTGCCTGCTGGATGATGATATTTTCACCTTTGAGACATGCGATCGTAGTGAAGTTCAAATACTAGGTATGACATTCTATTCATAATGTCACTGTTATTTCTGTTTCAAAGAGGAATCCACCGTCTCCACTTTGAATTCTGAATGTAACTTATGAACTCTCATTATTTTTATCTTTCAGATACAACACAAGAGTCTGACATCACAGGTGGCGTATCCGAGTCTGAGTTCCAGAATTCCCTCAACGCCCTTTTCAAGACCATTGTTGAAGAACACTGCGACGATGAATCGGATAATACATCAGTGTCCACAGATTTGGATAGAACTCCTCCCTTGACGTCTCTCCTTGCAGTTTGCGACACAGAAACAGAAATACACACGCCCTGTTCTCCCCCACCATCATTCTTTCACAGAAATGGCCCAGTCGACACCCCACGCACCAGTCCATCGCCCACAGAATCGTCTGTTGCAGTCAACCCATTGCTGGACAATGACCTCCGAGATGTCTTGGATTCCGAGTGCAAGCAGACCACATTTCCTAGTACGCTCTTTCAGTCCATGTTGACAGAAAACAGCATACCACCAACAATCCGAGAGTGCGAACTGCTGAAAAGGTACAGTGTAAATAGGTATTCCTAACATGTATCAGTGATCGTTAACATGAGTGATCTATAAATGATGAAATAATACAATGCAAAGATATAGATTAATAATCCTTCTTGTCATTTAGTTTGTAGATTCCGTCTCCTGGAAAAGTCCAATGCAGACCAGGTGCGAGAGCTTTCTACGTTGTTTCGTTTCCATGCATCCAGTATTGAGATGAGGAGGATGGACGTAATGGCAGATACCAGCCTGACGTCCCATTACCGTGACTGGCTCAGTCATCACTTTGACAGGCAAATACATCAGGTAAGATTCCTATCAATATTCCACCCTAAAACTAAATATGACAAGGAGATATCACATGATAGCATTCATACATGATATAGCGATCTGTCTAACCTTAGTCGATTTTTTTATTCTTGTAGGTGATTGACCGAGTGGAGAAAAGTCTCAGTCTTCTGGAAGAGAAAGAGAAGAAAAGTGTGGAGAATCAGATGAACTTCCTCGTCCCGGGAGTCAAGCGGAGACCACCATTGTCCAAGCGAGCCGTACAGCTCATGGAGGGTTGGTACCAGTCCAATCTGCATCATCCCTATCCTTCTGCCATAGTATGTGAATCTCTGGCAGTCGCCGGTAACGTCACCGTCGATCAAGTCAAGAAGTGGTTCGGTAACAAACGCAACAGGAGCAGCAACACCAGAACAAGATCGGAAATCGCCAAGAGGAAATTCCGTAATCGCCATGGGATTCAGGAATATGATATCCTCAGGGCTCTTGAGTGTGGCTACTAACTCTTCAGACACTTATGTTTACGCACGTACTGAATCTGGTGCAAAATAGTGCTATGTATGTTTGCTTGAGTTGTATATTGCCGTGTATTCATTATGCCAGTTGTAGCATAGACTTGAAGTATTTTTTGAATGAAGCGACAGAGTGCTTATTTGTTATGTTTGTACAATAAATAATAACATCACATCACAATTGGCTTGTTCTTGATATACCCATGCAACAACGTGACTACACAGCAGCCGAATGATCATATCCATCTGACCTTCACTATTTCAAGCCAAGCATTTTGCCTCATCTTCCCCTCGAATAATGCCAACAAATCACATTCCAAAAACCAATTGGTATGTTTATGTAGCATCCATCGTACAAATCGTGACACTTAGCTTGATCCAATACATTTCTTCTTGGTGTGCATAATATGATATCCAAGTCACGAATGCGAAGGAAATATGGCATAGAAAATGTAGCTCTGTATAAAATATAGCATTTACATGCTCATTCACATGTTCATTTACAACGTCACGATACAATATCACCTGACAATGCCAAGTAGACGGGGAAAGAAAACATTGTATTAATGCCTGTAAAATGGAAGATTACCGATGTAACTTTGACTCTCCAAAGCATTAAGCTTTAAGATATAATTTTCCTTGTACATGTACACATTAGATGTTCCCGTTTCAATAATCAGAGTGGCAACATGGATTGTACGATTTTCGTTTCACTTCATTTGGACAGACTCTTTAACATACACTATAACGATCATCTGTACAGCACAGATTGTTATAAACCGATACTGGCTTATCACAATGCCGTTCCAATGCAAAGACATGAAAATGTTTTGAATCATTTGCTTACATGAGATGGCAATTCAATACCACTACTTAAGCAATAATAAAATCACTATATTACAAGTAATTTACAAGACAATATTGGGTCTATGAAGGGCATTCAGAAGTGAATATATAGCTGTCTGTTCCTAACTGTTTCATTCACCTGATGAAGAAGTAAGAATATACTTCGAAACGTCGTGACCCTTCACAATAAAGAAGTTGACATCCATAAAAGTCTTGCCTTTAAGACAATATTGCTTAACTAAATCGATCAGTTTCTAAGATGAATTTATGAACAGAATGAATTATTTCTATATTTTCTTGTACAGATAGCTGCTCTTATATCATATTATCTGTATAATAATGCATGTTGTTTCTAATAATGGTGTACTTTGAACACACAAATAAGTAGTAAAGGGTTTTCTCAAGTAGGGCCACAGGAGCACGATGGGACGGTTGAGCTTAATCTGTGGGTTTTGTGTGAAATGGCTTCAAATTAATCTGATGCTGGAATGTATTACTTGACAGTATCTTTTGTAAAATTAATATCAAGTGCAAATTCATGTGCTAATTTCGGGTGTTCTTGTCTGAAAACCTACTTAAGGATTTTATCCACGAAAGCGTAATCGGGAACAATATTACACAAATATCTTGGAGCGTTATCGTAGACCATTCTATGAAAATGTTTCAGTTTCTGTACACGTCTCCTTTCATTCATGGGTATAAACTTAGTTTCAGCGTACAATTTGTTGTGACTTGTACCTTTTGTTGTCCCACATTTTGATCTAAAAGCATCAAGTTACAATTTTACGAGACCTGTTTTCTGAACAAATGTACAGTTATTCCACATATAACTACAATGATATCAAATACTAAAGCTTTATACCAAATTTGGAGAGTTTCTCTTTGATAAACGCTATTTAAAACTCCTCAAACAACTAATCATGTGTGCACTCCTTTCTACAAGCCAGCTATCTGAATGCTACAGCAATGCTTCCATGGAAGCGGGTGCCTTTTACAACACTATGCATTTACAGACTGTTTTCACTTTTTGATATCCACACCCACACCTACCTACATTAAATAATTGCAGATGATGCAACGACTCTCTAAGACCATCAGTTTTATATAATTACTTTTGAGGTTTCTATCAAGACATTGGTTGTCGGTTTTCTATCCCCGAGTACACAACACCTTCATACTTAATGTATCAAATAAAACAAAAGTGATGTGATTGGATAAGAACAATGCTCATCCAAACTCGAGTGTTCAGAAGTCGGGATTAGTGTGTGATCAGTGTTCAAAGGTAAGCACTCGAACTTAGTATGTTTGGACAAGGAGAGAATGCTTTCACAAACACTGAGCGATAGGTCCGCTTTTCGATCGTGAACAAATAGATTAATCAACTCTCAGGCTCTATGATGGCTATTCTATGTGATGCATGTAAAGATGTGTTGATAGGTGATTTCTTCTCAACTGACATGGTATATATGGAGGGCTGTATTCGACTGACATCATTCACTCCGAGTATTCATTGATCCATACCAGTGCATATAGTGTCAACTGAACCTTAGAAATGACTGACTTTGATCTGTCGTATACTCCCTGCCTGCTGGATGATGATATTTTCACCTTTGAGACATGCGATCGTAGTGAAGTTCAAATACTAGGTATGACATTCTATTCATAATGTAACTGATATTTCTGTTTCAAAGAGGAATCCACCGTCTCCACTCTTTCACCGTAAATTCTGAATGTAACTTATGAACTCTCATTATTTTTATCTTTCAGATACAACACAAGAGTCTGACATCACAGGTGGCGTATCCGAGTCTGAGTTCCAGAATTCCCTCAACGCCCTTTTCAAGACCATTGTTGAAGAACACTGCGACGATGAATCGGATAATACATCAGTGTCCACAGATTTGGATAGAACTCCTCCCTTGACGTCTCTCCTTGCAGTTTGCGACAAAGAAACAGAAATACACACGCCCTGTTCTCCCCCCACCATCATTCTTTCACAGAAATGGCCCAGTCGACACCCCACGCACCAGTCCATCGCCCACAGAATCGTCTGTTGCAGTCAACCCATTGCTGGACAATGACCTCCGAGATGTCTTGGATTCCGAGTGCAAGCAGACCACATTTCCTAGTACGCTCTTTCAGTCCATGTTGACAGAAAACAGCATACCACCAACAATCCGAGAGTGCGAACTGCTGAAAAGGTACAGTGTAAATAGGTATTCCTAACATGTATCAGTGATCGTTAACATGAGTGATCTATAAATGATGAAATAATACAATGCAAAGATATAGATTAATAATCCTTCTTGTCATTTTGTTTGTAGATTCCGCCTCTTGGAAAAGTCCAATGCAGACCAGGTGCGAGAACTTTCTACGTTGTTTCGTTTCCATGCATCCAGTATTGAGATGAGGAGGATGGACGTAATGGCAGATACCAGCCTGACGTCCCATTACCGTGACTGGCTCAGTCATCACTTTGACAGGCAGATACATCAGGTAAGATTCCTATCAATATTCCACCCTAAAACTAAATATGACAAGGAGATATCACATGATAGCATTCATACATGATATAGCGATCTGTCTAACCTTAGTCGATTTTTTTATTCTTGTAGGTGATTGACCGAGTGGAGAAAAGTCTCAGTCTTCTGGAAGAGAAAGAGAAGAAAAGTGTGGAGAATCAGACGAACTTCCTCGTCCCGGGAGTCAAGCGGAGACCACCATTGTCCAAGCGAGCCGTACAGCTCATGGAGGGTTGGTACCAGTCCAATCTGCATCATCCCTATCCTTCTGCCATAGTATGTGAATCTCTGGCAGTCGCCGGTAACGTCACCGTCGATCAAGTCAAGAAGTGGTTCGGTAACAAACGCAACAGGAGCAGCAACACCAGAACAAGATCGGAAATCGCCAAGAGGAAATTCCGTAATCGCCATGGGATTCAGGAATATGATATCCTCAGGGCTCTTGAGTGTGGCTACTAACTCTTCAGACACTTATGTATGTTTACGCACGTACTGTATCTGGTGCAAAATAGTGCTATGTATGTTTGCTTGAGTTGTATATTGCCGTGTATTCATTATGCCAGTTGTAGCATAGACTTGAAGTATTTTTTGAATGAAGCGACAGAGTGCTTATTTGTTATGTTTGTACAATAAATAATAAACATATGTCACATCACAATTGGCTTGTTCTTGATATACCCATGCAACAACGTGACTACACAGCAGCCGAATGATCATATCCATCTGACCTTCACTATTTCAAGCCAAGCATTTTGCCTCAATCTTCCCCTCGAATAATGGCAACAAATACTGGCAAAAACAATCACATTCCAAAAACCAATTGGTATGTTTATGTAGCATCCATCGTACAAATCATGACACTTAGCTTGATCCAATACATTTCTTCTTGGTGTGCATAATATGATATCCAAGTCACGAATGCGAAGGAAATATGGCATAGAAAATGTAGCTCCGTATAAAATACAGCATTTACATGCTCATTCACATGTTCATTTACAACGTCACAATACAATATCACCTGACAATGCCAAGTAGACGGGGAAAGAAAACATTGTATTAATGCCTGTAAAATGGAAGATTACCGATGTAACTTTGACTCTCCAAAGCATTAAGCTTTAAGATATAATTTTCCTTGTACACATTAAATGTTCCCGTTTCCATAATCAGAGTGGCAACATGGATTGTACGATTTTCGTTTCACTTCATTTGGTCAGACTCTTTAACATACACTATAACGATCATCTGTACAGCACAGATTGTTATAAACCGATACTGGCTTATCACAATGCCGTTCCAATGCAAAGACATGAAAATGTTTTGAATCATTTGCTTACATGAGATGGCAATTCAATACCACTACTTAAGCAATAATAAAATCACTATATTACAAGTAATTTACAAGAAAATATTGGGTCTAGGAAGGGCATTCAGAAGTGAATATATAGCTGTCTGTTCCTAACTGTTTCATTCACCTGATGAAGAAGTAAGAATATACTTCGAAACGTCGTGACCCTTCACAATAAAGAAGTTGACATCCATAAAAGTCTTGCCTTTAAGACAATATTGCTTAACTAAATCGATCAGTTTCTAAGATGAATTTATGAACAGAATGAATTATTTCTATATTTTCTTGTACAGATAGCTGCTCTTATATCATATTATCTGTATAATAATGCATGTTGTTTCTAATAATGGTGTACTTTGAACACACAAATAAGTAGTAAAGGGTTTTCTCAAGTAGGGCCAAAGGAGCACGATGGGACGGTTGAGCTTAATCTGTGGGTTTTGTGTGAAATGGCTTCAAA